TCTTAACTCCACGTAGCAAATTTCACCACTTGAAATGGAAGAGGTCTAAGTCATCACCTCTCAACAAACATTATACATCCACACAGGGTCTCTTGTGTTCCTTCTCAGTGAATAGTGCCACTGCCCATGCAGCCAGAATATGACGTCTCCTTATTCCTCATTCTCCCATGCAATTAATCACTTCTCAGTTCTAGCTCCTGAATATATCTTGATTCTGTCCACCTCTATTTCCTCATCATTTCCTTCCTAACCACTTTTTATTCCAATCTTGTTCCTTCCCACCTTCTCTTCCCACTGCGGTTTTAGGGATCTTCCTAAAGCATAGATGTAACAATGTCACTACTCTGCCTAAAACCTGCCTAGGGCCTAAGGAATACTTGGTATACAAGACTGCTAAAAGTGATGATGCTGAGCCTGCACACACCACCCCCTCTTCTGCGTAGGCCTTGCCCTACTGATCACAGGCATGGGCATGTGACCCAGACCTAGTCCAATTATGGTATCTCATCACCTTCACCACAGTGAACGGTCCAGGAGTGAACACGTGACCAGAGCTGACCCAATTAGGGTCCTTTCTTGAGATCTGTTCATACCCACTTACCAGGTGTAGACTAAGTCACATACCTGACAAGGCAAACTCTGAGAACCAGGAGAAAGAGAGGGCAGGTCGCCGGTCGCCGGTCTGGGACGCTGTCAGGATCAGCCCCCAGTTTTCAGTGTCGCTCTGGTTTCAAGTTCTTTCAATTCTGTGAACGATCTGAGTCTCCTACCAGTAATCTCCCCTTTGATGACCTAAGCTATTCTGAGTGGGGTTCTCATTTCCAACCAAAATGTCCCAACTGTTGTGAAAATCCTTGGTAGTCTGGCCCTAATAAGACATCTTTCCCAGGTAACAGAGTTCTTTACAGCTTATCAAGTACTTTTCAAGGCTTTATACACTTTATCTCTTTGGGTTTTTATTATAAGCTTGTGAGGTGGGTTTTAGTATTACCTTGACTTTACAGATAAGAACAGCAGGGCTCGGGGTTGTGGTTTGCTCAAGATCAAGATGCTGAGAGCTAGGAGAGCTAGGACACCAACTCCCTCTTCTGTTCAATTTCACCCTGACCTGCCCACTGGCCTGTAAACACACTCATGGGCTGCAGAGTTGAGCCCAGGGTAAGCAAGCACAACACTGGGACAGACAGAGGGCTATGGAGGAAGTCAGGGGAAGACAAAGGCCAAGCTCTTCCACTTAAAATTTTATTTATGGCAGCTTCAGATCCAGGAAAAACTCTCAGCTTCTTTTTTCTTGTTCCCACAGTCCATATGTTAGGCTTGCAGTCTGCACTACAATTCAGTTATATTCTTGGCAATTATGCTTCTAGATGCTAGCCAGGAAAGCAAAACCACTGGTTACAATATAATCCTTTTATGAGTTGGGGCTGTCTATATTGAATTTTTATTTTTTAATAAAGGAAAATAAAATAGACCTGTTCTGCATTTTATCTCTGAGGCTCTCTCAAGCCACTCGATGTTGCTCTAAGAATGGGTCAGATAAAACTTTGTGGATCTTTGCTGCAGCCACGAATGGCAGGTGTCAGATGTCACTGTCTGGGGGCTGGTGGGGAGGGCCACGCTGGCTTTGTGGGTATTCCCACCACACTTTTCACACCCTGCAGCAGTGTGGCCAACTGTCCCAGAAAGGACACGTCTCCCAGAGGCTGCTTAGGCCAGCAAGACCTCCAAAACCACTCAGTCCATGGTTCACAAAGCTGGCTTCCCCGCCTCCTTCCTTTTTTCCTATACCCATGATCTCTTGCACATCCAGGATTAAGCAGAAATCACCAGGTGTGAGCAATCATCTTCCCAATCCCAGCCTTACTAGAAACCTCCACTCTGTCTCCATACTCCTCTTCTTAATAATGGTGGAAGTGTCCCTCTGTAGGAGGTGACCCTCATTAGTGTCCATACCCCATCTCCTTTCACCTGCTTTTCCTATCATGGCCCCTGCCTTCTTCTTAGATCATTCCTATCACCGTGCAAGCCTGCTCTAGTGACTCCCATATTTTAACGAACCCCTCATGACCGAGTGGGAAATTCTATGAAGGGACAAGAGAATGGCTACCAGGGCCATCTAGCAATCTCTACCAAAGCATCCTGTTCTTCCACATCCTTTCTAGATCCCTCCCAGTTCTCTGTTCCCTGTTAGACCTAAGTTGTGCAAACATGGTAGCTCCACCACAGCCTGCCTTCCACCCCACTATTCCAGGAACATGCCCTTATCATGTTCACCAGTTGGCTTCATGTTGCCAGAGCCAACAGGTCCCAATCATCTTACCTGACCTCTAAGCAGTGTCTATTACCGCTGACAACTGCTTTCTGGAAACATTTTCTCAGTCTCTGGGATACAGTGCTCTCCTGACTCTCCTCTAGCCTCCCCAGCCTTTTTCAGTCTTCTCGTCTGTGTTGGTTCCCCTGGGTCCCTCCTGAACTCTTTCCTCTTCTGCGTCTAGCCCTTCACCCTGTGCATCCTTCTCAGATCCCATGGCCTCGAACATCTCTATGTTGATGTGTCCCAAAGCCCCCTCTCCAGTCCAGGCCTCTCTTTAAGCTCCTAGTGATGGAATAACCCCACTGGATCTCTAACAGGCAGCTTAAGCTCCATGTGGCTTGAACAGAATTCCTGACGTAACTCCCCGAGATGTGCTGCTTTCTGATCCAATAAGTGAAGCACTGTCCACTCACTTACTCCAGCCAGAAACTTATCTTTGGTTTCTCCATTTCCTGCCCCCATGTCCTTCCTATCAGTGTGTCCTGTTAAGTCCAAAATAGCATCTCTCAACTACTCATCTTAGCATGGCCACCACTTTGGTTCAAACCACCATCATCTTTGGCCTGGATTGTGGCAAGCCTAATTGGCTCCCTGCTTTTATTTTTGCTTGACACCCACGCACAGCTTTAAATCAGAACATGTTAGTCTTCTGCATAAAACCCTTCCAAGGCTCAACAAAGTCTCCATTCTTTGACACAGCCCACAGGCCCTGCACGATCTGGCCCCCGCCCACCTTCCCACTCCATCCTGGGCCTCCTCCCCTAGGCTTGGAAAATTAAACCACACTGATTTTCTTTCACCTCTTTGACCCATCCAGAGCTTACCTTGAAAAGGCACTTACTGCTCTCAAGGAGGAATGTCTCTGCCCGAATTTTCCCAAGGCTAACTCCTCATTCTTTCGACTTCAATTTCAGGATCACTTCCTCAAAGACCCTTTCCCTGACAGCTTCATCTAAGGTAGCTCTTATTCTCTATTCTAACCCCTTGTTTTTGTCCCAGCCTTTACTTCAACTTGTGATTATTTGTCTTCTCCACCAAAAATTAGCTTTATCGGGCAAAAAGCCTCAGCTGTCCTGTTCACTGAAGTATCACAGCATAGACACAGGGCCTGGCATCCATCAGGCACTCAATCAAGCACTCACTATCTGCTGAATGAATGGACAGGTTCCCACGGAGGTTCCTGAGCTGCCTGGGGTGTCACAGACAGGTTGCATCCCTCTTAATTAAACTAACAAACAAAACTGGCCAGGCACAGTGGCTCATCTCTGTAATTCCAGCACTCTGGGAGGCAGCGGTGGGAGGATTGCCTGAGCCCAGGAATTTGAGACCGGCACTGGCAACATAGCAATATCCTGTCTCTAGTTAGGCGTGGTGGCCTGCACCTGTGGTCCCAGCTACTTGGGAAGCTGAGGCAGGAGGCAGAGATTGCATCGAGCCAGGGTCATGCCACTGCACTGCAGCCTGGGCGACAAAGTGATAGCTTATCTCAAAAAACAAAAAAAAAACAGAAACAAACCTGGGAATGGACCGAACAGTATCCATTTCAAGATCTCCTCCTACCATTGGAATTAACCTCTTGGTTGCTTGTGCTAGCATGTGGCAACCGTCTTAGCCGAGTTTTAATAGACCCCTGCTTGCTGTTACCCAACAGAGCAGACCACTCGGCCCTCAGCCACTGAGTAAGTTTAAGAAACAGAGGTGTGGCGTGCTTCATTCTACAGGTAGGCAGGCTGAGGCCGGGGAGCCGCTTCTGGCTGTCCCTGGAAACCCCTCTTAACCCACAAGAATCGTCCCAGCCATCTCTTTAGCGTAAATGTGAGGAACAAATCTCAACCAGGATCCAAAGAGGGGAGCCACCCCCGGCTGTCCCTGGAAACACCCCTACCCCACGAGAATCGTCCCAGCTGCCTCTTTAGCGTAAAGGTGAGGAACAAATCTCAGCCATGATCCAAAGAAAGCCTGGCATTTTTAGCACCAAAGCTATAAAGAGCACGTCCTTACTCTTCGGTTTGCAAAGAAATAAAAACCATTTCCCCTTCCTTCTTTTGAAGACTACCCCCGCCCCCAGCCTCCAAAGCCCGGCAGGAACGCTTCCTATCTCCACCACAGCCATTTTCCTAATCCTTCGCCGGCTCTCCTCGGTCACCCAAGCGTATCCCTCGAGACGCCGCCTCCCACAGCTCGTGCTTCTCCCAGGTTCGGCTCCGACAAGGCCAGAGCGGCGTCTGCGCAGCGCAAAGGCTCAGAGCGCTCCCGGCGGCCACAAGTGCCCGGCCCCGGGCCAGGCCAGGCCTGCGCCGTGCACCCACTGGGAGGGCGCGGACCCGGGCCGCCCCGAGCCTCCGGCGTCGCCCAGAGCGGGACAAAGGGGCGGGCCGGCGACCCGGCTTCGCGGTCCCCGGTGCCGCGCGGCCTGGAGGCGGGGCGTGGTGGGGGAGGGGCGTGGCTTGGCGGGGGGGGCGTGGCGTGGCGGGGGAGGGGCGTGGCGTGGTGGGGGAGGGGCGTGGCGTGGTGGGGGAGGGGCGTGGCGTGGTGGGGGAGGGGCGAGCCGGCGGGGGCGGGGAGGGGGCGGGGCCAGGGCGGGCCCAGGCGCGCGGGGCTGCACCGGGCGGTGCAGGGTAGCGGCGCCCCTTCCCTCGGCAGCCGGCAGGCGCCGCGCCCCCGGCCCCGCCCCTCCGAGCCCCGCCCCCGCCGCCCGGACGGCCCGAGTCGCGCCCTCCCGCCCCGCGCCGCCGAACTTGCTCTAACTTCCTCGGCCGAGCCGGGCCGCGCCGCCGCTGCAGCCGCCGCGCGCGGGTGAGTAGAGCGCGGAGCCTGGGCTGGGGCGTTGGGCCCTGCCTCCTTCTTTGTCTGAGGCAGACTCCCCTGGGCGTCCTCCGGGGGCGAGGGCTGCTCCCCCAGGTCTCCGCTTGGTCCCTCAGCCTCCCTCCCTGCCTGCCCGGGGGCGGCCCCGCGGGTGGCGCTGGCTTTGTCTGCCAGGATCGCTCGCTAGAGGTTGGAGGCCTCGGCGGGGACCCAGCTGAGCCGAACTTCGGCGCCGGGCGGGACCGGGGCTGGCGCTCCGGGTTCGGTAGCCCTCGCCCCATCCGGGCGCTCCGGCGAGTGCGCGCCCGGGCCGGGCGGGGTGGGAGCGCCGGGGAGCCTGGACTGCCGCCGCCGCTCGGGGCTCTCCTGCTCCTCGTCTACAGCAGCGAGCTCGGGAATGGGCGCTCCTTTCGGCTCCGTCACCCACCCTCGGCCCCCCGGAGCTCGGGTTCGGGGTCGGGTGGGCTAGGCCGGGACGGGCCGCCCCTTCGCCCTGCCCCGCGGTGGCTGTGCTCAGCCGCCCTCGCCGCGGTGGATCCCACTCTTCCCAGCTCGGGTTTGGGGCGGCCGGAGTTTGAGTAGGCGGCGACCCAGCTTCTCTGTGTTGGTCGTGTGGGGTTGTGCCTAGGAGCAAAGCCTGACCCCTGACGTAGCCGGAGTTCTGGTAGAGTGGGGGTTTGTGGCTGCGGAGTGTGCTGGTCCCCGGCTGCTGCTGCTTCTCCTCCGCCCACAGGGGTGGGGTGCGGGTGGGTAGGAAGTGCCTGTGTGAGGATGTGTGGAGGGACTTTGGCCCTGGGACGGCTGGAGCACTTGTCTTGGGGACTTAAAGTTGGTCTCCGGCGGGAAGCGGTCCGTGACAGGGGGATTTGGGGGAAGTCGTGGGCCCGGGTACTGGCCTGGCTCTGGGCGTGGAGCGGTGCTGAGTCTGGCGTTGTCACACACTTCTCCGCTGTCCCGGCGCTGCTAACCCGGCAGTCAGGCGGTCTTGGGCGGCAGTGCAGGGCGCTGTATTGGAGCCTCTGCAGGTGTGCTCTTGGCAGTGGTCTGCTCTCCAGGGGATCTTCCTCCCTTCCGAGAGGGCGTTGCTCTTGGGCTAGTGAGAGAGTGGGCTGCCAAATCCTCAAAAGTAGCCTTTCCCTCGCCCCTTGACCTTGAAGTCTAGAAGCAGTTAGTGTCTGCTGAGTGCTCCGGCCACCCTTAGCTACCCGTGTCATCAGTAGCCTCAAATTGCTGGGCTCAAGTGATCCTCCAACCTCAGCCTCCCAAAGCAAGGGGATTACAAGTGTGAGCCACCATGTGCAGTCTGATCCCAGCCCGATTCTTAACGTTATAGTGATAGGCCCTGGAAACCCAGGCCACCAGATGTATTTTCCCTTTCCTTTTCATTGTGTTGCACCCCAACTTCAGTTGGAGACTTTCTGGATATATCCATTCCCACATCTCTGAACTCCACTGCTTGGAGCACCTAATGTGATCCTCAATTTACTTAACAAAGCATGGTTGACATTCTGTGGGATGCCAGGCATTGTTTACAGGCATTGTTCCAAGTCTGGAAAGTCCCTCACCAGCTGTATACTCCATGTGGTCTTAGAACCCAGGCTGGACATGGAGTAGTTGCTCAGTAGTGTTTATTGATCTGAGCTTGATGTCAGCATAGCAGGATCGAGACGGGGGGGGGGGGGGGGCCGCTGAGCCCCTGGGTGCTTCTGTAGGTTTGTGGCTGTCCCAGAAAGAAAGGGTATGGAGGGGCTGTGGGCTGCAGAATGGTTGACTGCCCAGGTAAGTGTCCCCCTTCACCAGCTGGGCTAGTCTCTGAGGACAGGTGAGGGTGGCTCCCTTCCCATGTGGGAATTGGCAGGACGAAGTTAATGCTTTGTGTGTGGGAGGAGATGGCCCTGCCCTGAAGGTTGTGGTGTTAGTAAAGTTCCCATGGAGGCCATGGAGCAAGCAGGAAAGCCCTGAGTTCTGTAACTATTTCCTGAGGCCTCACCCTAGGCCACCATGTGCTCAGAGATTTGACCTGTTTAACTTCAACTAAGGTAGAATTCCTTTTGGCAGTGCCTACAAAGTGCCATTGTGCCAGGCCTGGGAATCCTTCGCTGGTTTAAAATCTTGTGAAGGACAAGATTATAGCAGTTATGTGGAAGGTTTCATAGTGATAGTGAGTTTATTGAGACTTACACCCTAGAAGCTTGATTTATAATAACTCATTTAATCCTTGAAAACAACCATGATGGCTGGGCACCATGGCTTATGCCTGTAATACCAGCACTTTGGGAAGCTGAAGTAGGTAGATTCCTGAGGTCAGGAGTTGGAGACCAGCCTGATCAGCAGAGTGAAACCCTATCTCTACTAAAAATACAAAATTAGCTGGGCATGGTGGTGCATGCCTGTAATCCCAGCTACTTGGGAGGCTGAGGCAAGAGAATCGCTTGAATCTGGAAGGCGGAGGGTGCCATGAGCCTAGATTGTGCCATTGTACTCCAGCCTGGGCAACAAGAGCAAGACTCCGTCTCAAAAAGAAAGAAAGAAAACAACTGTGATGTCTGTCAACAGCTCCATTTTACAGAGGAGGAAACTGTGGTCCCAAGAGGTCACAGACAGAATAACTTGCTTGAGGTCTCAATATGAGCTGGATTTTCTCATTTCTTTTATTTTCATTTTTATACTGATTCTTACTCTGTCACCCAGGCTGGAGTGCAGTGGCTCGATCTTTGCTCACTGCAACCTCTGCCTTCTGGGTTCAGGTGATTCTCCTGCCTCAGCCTCCCAAGTAGCTGGGACTACAGGCACACACTACCATGCCTGGCTAATTTTTGTGTTTTTAGTAGAGACAGGGTTTCACCATGTTGGCCAGGTTGGTCTCGAGCTCCTGACCTCAAGTGATCCACCTGCCTCGGCCTCCTAAAGTGCTGGGATTACAGGCATGAGCCACCATGCCTGGCCAGGTTTTCTCATTTCTAATTTAGACAGTACCTTCCTCTCAGAGGTGATTAAAATGGGTTCATATACCAAACAAGACTGGCTTACAGTGGAACTAATGAGTCTTTTCAGTGAAGGTACCTTTGTATCCCTGCTTCTGAACACATCTCATCTGTCCAGCACAGCCTGGGCAGTTACCCCGGAACCCCTGCTGACTGACTGGTGATGTAGCTTCTGTTTCCGTAAGGCCAGGGAATGGGAAGACCAGCACTGCCACGTGGAGAAGACTGGGGAGTCACTGCCTGTGTCTGTCTGGATGGATCACGGTTTGCTGTGGTAATAGCAATCCTCAGGTCTCAGAGGCTTAAAGCAACAGAGATTTATATCTTGTTCACGCTGTGTATCCATCACTTACTGCTTTATGTTGTCCACACTGGGGGACCCAAAGTGATTAGTGGGAACATCCCTGGTCGCTTGGACAGAGGGAAGAGCATGATGATCCCTGTTTCCTGCCACTGAGTCCTGGTGACCTTTAAAATGCCTATGGGAAGGGGATTAGGCTCCTGCTGCCTGTCTCTGTCCTGCCTTGTCAGTCCTGGGACATCTTGCATGGTCCATCCCCTACCTGGATGTGGCCTGTAGGGACAGCCACCTTTCCTAGAAGCAAGAGCAGGTAGCGATACCCCTGGTAGGGGTGTGGAAAGGAGTGGTGGTGAGGTGACTGAAGGTAGACTCCCACTGGGGACGGGATTGAGTGTGGGGCTAGATCCCTGGCTTGTAGAAGGGAGTAGGAACCCACTGTGAGTTGCATTTTCCCCCTCAGCCCACCTTAGCAGGATTTTAAAGAGCCAGCCACATTGTGACTCTTGCTTTTGTGCCTGGTCACCTGCTTGGTCTCTGGTGACTTGGGGGCCAGCAGACACTGGTGGAGGTGATGAGGCCTCGGGTTCTTTCGCCTCATGGTTAACTCATTCTCCTTAGGCATATTTCCACCTTTTCCAGGGCCTCTGTTTCTTTGCCAGTGGAGTGAGAGGTGGTGGTGGTCTCCAGCAGTGGTCCTACTCTTGGCAGGCCATCAGAGTGCCCAGGGAGCTACATAGAATGAAGTTTTGAGAGTCTTCAGTCTATGTGAATGCCAGCGTTTCAGTTTGCTTAACTTCCATTGTAGCAATATCAGGCAGGTTATTCATAATATCTCCACATCCATTTTCTCCCTTAACTGCAGATGCTTTCAGTTTAGACAGAGCATGTGGCCATGTTGGTAGAGCACAGGCCCTGGCAGGGGGCAGCGTCCAGTGCCTCTGCCAATGAAATGCGAAGATGTGAAGATGAATAACACTGTCCAGCTTGCAGAGTGGACGCTGGTGAGGCAAGCTTTCAAGTTGCATCTACTTTCTAGTTGAATGACCTACACAAGTCTTTGATTTTTTTTTTTCTCCTGCAAAAAAAAAAAAAAAAGTTGCTTAATTTTCTCATCTGTAAAGTGAGAAGAGTCAAGTCTGCCTTTCCTGTCTCACAGGGTTGCAGTGAAGCATGAGTACACTGAGAAGCAGGATCCAAAGCCCCTGAGTTAGGCCTGACACTGGTGTGAGACAGCTGCCATCTCTGGCGGCTCTCAGCAAGTGCTCACCAGCAGCTGATTCTGGAAACCCCACTTCCTCCACTCCTGGGCTTCGTGGGGTTGGGTAGGGTTGGGTGGGGCTGTGGTTTTCTTTTAGGAGGCAGCAGGCCAGGCCTGGAGACCAGAGCTTAAGTGGGTCTGCAGGCTAGAGTTGAAACTCTTCACCTCTTGAGGTCTGTTCGGCCTCCCTAGCTGAGAGGCCAGGGTGAAGGCCAAGAGCCCGTGCCTTTCAGCTAGATAGTTAAAGGGACTGGCTCCTCCCTCCTTAGGCTGTGCTGGCCTGAGCTGGGAGCCTGAGAGCCAGGGTAGTTGTCTCTAAAGAGGCTTCTCGGATTCTACTAAGAGATGAGCTCCTGGTGCTGCCTCAGAGTCTGTGTTCCCTGGCATTTGGGAGAGCTGAAGTTGGGCTGTCCTGCGTGAGTATAGCTTGGGGAGGGGCTGGGACGAG